CCGCTGTGAGCCAATCATCAGCCGGCAGCTGGAAGTTTGCTGGGGCCCCTCCGGCTGTGGCTCTCAACATTAAGTACTTTACATTGTTGTGCCAGAGATCTCTGAACCTTCTCATCTGCTAAACTGAAGCTCTGTATTCACGGAGCCCCTCCAACCTCCCTGCCCTGCGGCACCGGTTCTCCTCCTCAGCTGCGGACCTTCAGGGACCCAACAGTGAAGGTCCACAGGCGACACGAAGCCTGCTGACAGCTCAGGGCCAGACTCACTTCTTAGGATTGTTCACACGACTCCTGAGAAAAACGAGGCTCATTCCTTCAGAAGACGGTTAGTGACTGTGTTCACTAAAACAATATTTCCTGAAGCAAACACAGGTGCAGAGAGATCTCTGGCTGACGAGGACCTTCAGGGCGCACTCCGGCCCTCACTCTGCAAATGGAGCCCACGAGCCCGGCTCCCAGGAGAGCTGCGAAGCCTGCAAGCGGCTCACACGTATCTTCCATTTCATCTCCCTCTGCAGCCGCCAAAACGTGATCACTTTCAACAACCAGTAAATATTTGGCATCGTAATACATTACTTCGAAATTAAAATCGTTATTCTTTTTTATTTAAACATTTTTAGTCGTCAATGGAACTTTATTTATTTACATGTGGTGCTGAGAATCGAACCCAGGGCCTCACACATGCTAGGCAAGCGCTCTACCACTGAGCCCCAGCCCCAATCTAAAATCATCATTTTCAAATCTAAATTACACTGTGTGCAAAAGTATGACCTGATTTTAATTTTCTGTTCACATTTCGTTACGGTATCATTGCTCCAACTCTGAAACCCCTCCTGCATACAGTTAGAGTCTTCTCTAAAGAAGCCTCAATGTGGCTTTGTTCTGTTGAATTCTCGGTGGACGAGCTCTGCCCACCCGTCCTCCCCTTGGACATGGGTCATCTGTGGCCTGTGTCATGCTCTTACTCACCACTGCAAGTCTCACATCTTCACATGAGTTACAGAATCCTTACCTCTTTATGGTGTTTATGTTCAGGTCAATCCCACCAAACCTGGAGAGGAATTCAAGGTACGGTACATTGCCAGAGCCAGTGACAGGGACCTACACAAAAAAAGGACAAGGACAGCAGGTTAGAAGAGAGAGACCCAGGCAGAGGACAGCAACAGTGTCTAAACACCGCCTTCCTGACGTCATAGTGAGTGTCATTAACGAGTGGCACCCTGCTTAGCATTCTGATGGCTCACTCAGGTGCCAAGCTGACAGCGTTCTTGGAAAACCAAGGAATGCCAGTCTGTGTTAACTAAAAGTCAACAAGTCATCCACACAGTTACCTAAAGTCCAAATCTGGCTAAGCCAAGTCTAGCTTAAAGTAAAATCATCATGGGGTTATATTCCATGCTTCTAGGATTATGTCAAGATGAACCTCAACGTTACATATATGTAACTATAATGCAGTAATAAAATAAAAAGAAATTAGCAGAAATATATCCTAACATGAGATATACAGAAGCTGAGGTGAGCACAACACTCAATACTCGGAGGGTCATGTGACTCTTCTGTAAGTAGTGTTAAGGTACAAAATGCCATTTTTAAGTTAAAAAGTCCATCGAGAACACTATGGGACAGGTGGGTCAATATGAACTATAGATTAAAGGTTTGATCTCCATGTTTGATTCCCTGAACTTGATAACTACTGTGATTATGTAAGAAAATGGTTCTTTTTCTTAGGAAATAGACTGAGGTGTTCGGGAGTCAAGAACTGGGATAAAGCACTTTCCTTGAAAATATTTGGGTTTTTAGAAAAGGCATCACACGCAGCTTGTGTGTGCTGAGCATGCTGTTTGTGCACCTGCACATGCACAGCTAGCGAGCACGCACAGGAGAAGCGCATGGGGTAGGGTGGCCACGGCAGGTACACCCAGGTGCGGGGCTGTGAGCGTTACTGACAGGTGCCACATGGGTGCCGCAGGGTGCTGCAGGCACTTTGCTGGAGGTTCAAAATCATTTCTAAAAAAGAAGTTAACTTATAAATAAAGATAATGGTTCAAAAAAAAGCATGTGACTCTAGGATTTAAACAAAGTATATAATCAATATAAATATATCTTATCAAGCTCCATGCAGACGCACACCGAGCTGCGCCCACACAGCTGGGCGGTTCCTGGGGTGCACCGTGCAGTCAGGGTTTGCCTAGCCTCACGGTGCCGGCTGGCCTCGAGGCCTGGTGTGGTTGTCCCTGTCTCTCCCAAAGATCAATGAAGTTTCCTTAATATACAAAAGAAGGGCAAAGATGCATGAGATGTGTAGTTCAAGGCTGGATGTTCCTGTGATAACGCCAAGAGTCGGTGAGGGAAGGAGGGCACCCACGTTTCCTGGGCCCCGACTCCAAACACAGGTACCACTTTCAGCCCCCCTAAACCACCTTCAGAAGGTGGTGTCACTGTCCACGTTTCATGACATCCCTGCGTGGCACCACCATTAAAAGCCAGAGCCCGAGTGACCCCACTCCACCCTCCATCGTCCTGCGTGAACGAGAGTCACCAAAGGAGGCCCGCTCTCCTCACACTCACGACAGCCCTAACGTGGCAGCTCTTGCCTTGACCCATCGCCACAGCAGGGTCCTTTGGACATCAAAAAACCCTGTCCACAAGGGAGGCTGTGGCCACTGCTCATCCTCTCGGTAGGTATGAATCTGTCACAAACGTTCCGCAACCAAAACCATCCAAAGGTGAACTGCCGCAGGCAGATTCTTAGACTGTGGCTGGGGCGGGGAAGTCTGCACCTGCCATATTGACAAGTGTCCTCCAAGAAGACTTTTTCTCTGACCTGGCACGATCCTTGGGCCCAGAACAGAACTTGGTTTTGCTTCTCTGGAATCCAATTACCAGTTCAACTTGTTTAAAACTAGGCCACATTAACACTCAGACTAAGGCCATGTGTTTGCACTACTCTCATTGGAAACCAGGCTCCAGGCCGACAGCACAGAGCCCCTCGATCCTCCTCGCTGCCGGGAACATTCCTGACACAGGTCATGAAATACAATCAGAGCCAAAGGAGATTCAGACTATAACTGGAAAATTGTTTTTTAATTTTAAGGTAAGTTCCCATGAAATCTTGTATTGGTTTTGTAAGTTTCCAGTTGGGCTTCCATTAACCTCTGAGAAAGCAAGGTTGTCACCACAGGGTTCATCATAAACAGAGCTGGCGAAGTGACCCAGCAGCCTGCCTTCGCACCACACTGCACCCGGGGTCTCTCCGCTGCTCGTGGGTCCAGCAGCCAGCTCCAGGAAGGCAGGCCAGCACAGGAGGGACTACCAGGATCTGCTCTTACAAAGTCTTTGAAGTTCTCAGTGCTCAGTGACTTCTTTTAGAAACAGATGTAGCTTTTAAAAACAGAGACGCATTTCATATTTTCTGCACTTTTTCTCTTCCTGCATAACTGATCAGCTTGGGAAGATTGTCAAAAATTTAAATTCCCATTAGATCACGACTATAAGGGCACAGAGAAGGAAATGATATTCTAACTCTTTATTCAGTATAAAGCAACAGTTAAATCCAACTTCCAAGGGAAACTGGCACAAGGTTTACAAGGACAGATGGTCCTTGAGGTAAAGAACCTTAGCCCAGGACACAGCCATTCCACTCCCAGGAATGGAGCCACAGACTGAAAATACGTCCACGCAGAAGATGCATCCATGACTGTCCACAGCAGCTCTGCTCACAAAAGCCAAAGAGAAGAAACAATTCCAACAACCCTAACCCCAACCGGAACCCGAGCCCTTTGGCCAACAAAAGGGGCTGTATGCACTAAATGAATGGAGTACTGCCCTGTGCGACGGTTGATGGATCCATGGGGGAACCTCGAAAGCTCACTCATGGAAGAGCCAGACACAAGGACCACATGCTGTGCGAGTCCAGCTGGTGGACTATTTAGAATCCACAGTGACAAAAGTGGATGGGTTTCTCTACACACAGGAAGGAGGAGAAATTGGGAGTAACTGCCAATGAGTACAGGGTTTCTTTCAGGGGTGATAAAAATGTTTTTAGATCCCATGGTAGTGATAGGTGCACAACTGTGAGTATAGTGAAACCACTGGCTTATACGTGTAAAAAGGACGAGTTTATGATATGTAAATCTCATCTTAATAAAGCCGCAACTAAAAGGTAGACAGCAGCAGCGGGAGCAGTGGTGCCCTGAGAAGTCCAAGCAGGAGAAAAGGAGGAGCTTTTATAGAGGGGAAAAGAAAAGTCTCGGCCTCCTCCTCCTCCCTATGTCCCGAGTTACTCAGACCTAAAGTCACCATAGGGCAGAGGAAAGTGGTGTCGAGCAGCCACAGGGCAGAGGAAAGTGGTGTCTGCCTGCCGGGAGCCACAGGGATCAGAGCGCCAAGCACCCCCAGGGGGAGCGCCGGGGTGAGGTGAGGGATGAGCCACCAAGGGAGGGTGACGGAATGAGTAAATGCACTCAGGACCACAAAAGCCAAGCGTCTGCTCCGTGAGAGGGCAGGGACCGCCACGCGGGAGAGAAAGCCGAGGCGGGCAGCGCCGGGTGGTATGAACTCTGGGTTTTCAACACCAGAGAAAGACTGGCCCAGAAACACGTGGACAGGAACGTATGTAAAAGCTGGGAGGCAAATGGAGGCCCCAGAGCTCTGCCAATGAGAGGCCGGGGACAGCAGCACCCCAGAGCACCGGCCACCCCAGGCCCAGATCCCGTCTCCATGCTCTTTCCTTGAGAGGAGCCAGAGCCCTGTGGAAAAGGTGGATGATTCTAGAGCAAAGCAAGGGAAGTGAAGATGAGCTTAGAGTACCCCAAACAAAGAAATGCCCAAGGAAAGCTGAGGACCTGTCAAAGGACACAGAGACCAGACGAAAGGGGGCCCAACTGGCCAGACTAAGGATCATTTCAACATTACAACAATTAAACTAAGACAACTCACGCACTAAGGAACCTCGAATCCCTGCAAATATTTAAACCACAAATGAATCAGCTGGATGTCAGATGAGCAAGGGAATACTTACTTATTTCACAGAAAATCGGCTCCACAGTGCATGCCGCGGAGAAGCCTGCCAGACCCCAGCCTCACCAGGTGACCCAGGTGAACGGCAGCGGGGTGGGACGGACCGTGCCAAGGCAGCCTGGCCGTGCCACAGCAGAACACAGCCAGGGACCCGAGCTGCATCTTGGCCAGATGAACACAGGCTGGGACTTTTAAGCAAAGGTGTTCTGCAGTCCTCAAAACATTAAGGTCGGGACGGTCAAGGAAGGGCTGAAGGCCGTGCCAGGCGGAGGGGCCTGGAGGGGCAGGAACCACACGCCAGGCTTGATTCTGACCTGGATCCCACAGGGTGTTTCTGGAATTGCCAAAGCCTGACTGGGCCCCAGGGCTGAGGTGGGAGCCGAGAGTCATAGGGACTGCTTTATTTTGAAGGTTGGATTATGGCTGTTAGAGGTCCTAGCTTGAAGAAAATATTAATATATTTAGAAGTAATGGAATATTTAGAAGTAGTTTAGAAAAAGATTGTTCTTCGCACTCTACTTGCAAACTTTTCTGTAACTTTGCAATTGCTTAGAATAAATGACAAAGCAGAGAAGTTGCCAAAGAGAAAACTCAGACCAGCCTTCCACAGAAAATGACTGTGAACTCTATTCAAAGTACAAAATAATAAAACTATGTAAAGATAAGAGTTAAAATGAGAAATGAGCCATTGGCCACTGAAGCAAGACAGAATTTGCAAGTTAACTGTCTATCAAAACAAAAGTATCAATAGTCTTCAGCAGAAAATAACAGAATCCAGAGTCTCCACAACACACCATTCATAATGCTTAGCACTATACTGTATAGTACACAGATCTAGCCACCATTAGCTACATAGCATTTGAAATGGGGCCAGCATTACTGATTAGCTGAACTCCTTTGCTTTATTTATGTTAATTAATTCTTTTTATAGTACTGAGAATTGAACCCAGGGCCACATGCATGGTAGGCAAACATTCTGCCACTGAGCTACACCCCAGTCCTTTTTTAAGATTTTACTTCAAGACAGTATCTCATTAAGTTGCTGAGGCTAGCCTCAAACTTGCAACTCTCCTGTGTCAGCCTCCCAAGTCACTGGGATTAATATTAATTAATTTGAATTTTTTAAATGATATCAATTCAGTTATTGGAAGATACTTGATATGTCTGGAACAACCAGGTATGTGAACCTAGTATTTCAACTATTCATTTTATTAAATCAAAATATAGATCAAGTTTTGCCAGTAGAAATTTAGTGTCAGAATTGAAGTCTGCTGTAAGCGTAAAGTGTGTATTCACCATGTTTGAACACTTAGTAACGCTTGAAACATGAAAAGAATGTAAAATATCTTATTAGCAACTTCTCAGTGACTATATACTGACATGAAATATTTTATATATATTTGGTTGAATAAAATTATTATTAAAATTAATTTTACTTATCTTTTAATGTGGCTACTAGAAATTTAAAATTGCGCATGTAGCTCACGTACTTCTGTTGGACAGCTCTTGTTTGGGATATTATCCAAACACGTTCAAATATGAACACCCAGACGCACTCTGAGAGAGCAGCCTGTGAGATGCACACACAAGGACTTCAGGGCAGCTATTTCAACTATGTTCACTCAGTTAAGAGAAATATGCTCATAACTGAGGAAAATAGGAAATTCAGCAGGTACAGAGAAATTATAAAAAGGAATCAAAAAGAAATTCTAGAATGTCTGAAAAAAATCACAAATCCACTGACTGGGCTTAACAGCAGAATGGAGAGAACAAGAGGTGTCTGTGGACCGAGGACAGATCAATAGACGTTATCCAACCTGGAAAACAGAGTGAAATGCTGTAAAAATAAAGAGAGCCTAGGGAGACAGCGGGGCCATTTCAAACGCCCCAAAGAGAAAATGGGGCATGAAAACCAGCTGAGGAGCCGCGGCTGGAAAACCCCCAGTTCAGAAAGGGACAAAGCTCAAGGCAGAGGAAGCCGTGAGGTTCAGGCGGACTTTGGGTGGAGCTCTTTGTGCTCACAGCGCACATTCCCCTCCTTCCCCGGGACAAGAGGTAGGAACACTGCGTCGGGTGGGTGCACAGCAAAGTCCAAACTGAAGCAGGCTTTTTAAGTACTAGGAAGTAGCGTGAAACCAGATGGACTAGGAATGAAGGAAAGGAGGAGGAAAGTGCACGTCTCCGTGTGTACGTGTGCGCTTGTGCACACACACGTGCACACATGGGCCCAGGGCCCTGGGTGTGCAAAGTCAGCCGCTGAGTTGGAAGGAAACTATTCCAGCCCAAGGTTCCCACTCTTAGATTTGCTATTTTGAGTCTTACAAGCCCATCTTGAGAATGTTTAATTCCTACTGTGTTTCAAGTTCCTTTTCTAGGGCCCCAGGATCACCCCTGGACCACGCCATTGGTAGGCCCAAGGGCCCTGGTCCTCCCCACGCCACCCAAGTCTACCCTGCTGCAAACCCTTCCCTGGCTCCCTGCGGCCTCACAAAGCCTGCTCGCAGCTGGCCCTCAGAGCCACACCAAGTCCACGGCCTTGACTTCTAACGCAGCAGTGCCACCCAGATCCCTGGACCAGCAAGAGGCTGATGCAGGCCCCTCTGCTCCCCATTTGGCCTTTCCCCTCCCCGCTCCTCTGCGAATCTCCAGTCCAAACCAGTCAAAACTAAGTTAAATACCTGCTCCAGAGTGGCCTTCCCAGACACCCAGCCCCAGCTAGAGACAGCTGTCCTCCCCCAGCCCCCAAACTCCCTGGACTGGCCCTGCCGGGCCTCGCCCGCGCTCTACTTGTCTCACTGGACAAGTGTCTCAGTTCCTGCACCTCCTGTCTAGCATTGGCTATGGTAGTTAGAAGATGCCCCGTGACTGATGACAGAACAAATACCAAAACACTAAGTTCCAAAATGTAAGTTGACCAAATACTTTTATGTAGAAGAAAGAAAGAAAGAAAGAAAGAAAGAAAGAAAGAAAGAAAGAAAGAAAGAAAGAAAGAAAGAAAGAAAGAAAGAAAGAAAGA